GTCATTTTGTTATTCTCACCAAACAGACATACCCTAAATCGGGAAGTCTTTTTTTTTTTTTTATAATATATTTTTATTGATTTCCAAGAGCAGGGAGGGGAGAGAGAGACAGAGAAACATCAGTGATGAGAGAGAATCATCGACCGGTTGCCTCTTGCACGCCCCCTACTAGAGACTGAGCCTGCAACTTGGGCATGTGCCCTGACTGGGAATCAAAGACCTCTTGGTTCATAGGTTTACACTCAACCACTGAGCAACACTGGCTGAGCTGGAAGTCTTTTTTTTTTTTTTTTAACCTCAACTTTGACTTAGAAATTCAGTGTCTTTATTCAGGGGTAAGTCCAGATGTCCACGGGCTCCCTACGCTAGCATGAGACACGTTAACAGATTATTTGAGTGCCTCCTGCTGTGCAGGGCCCTTTGTTCATTTCTGTAAGGGACACAAAGAAGTATAAGACATGGTCTCTGCTCCCAGGGAACTCTTAGGCAAGTGAGAGCACCTGGAACTCCAGTGACCAGGGGAGACTTCTTAGAGTTGTCTTGAGTGCCAGATAGGGATTGAGTGCAGAAGACATTGAAGGGAATTCCTTGTAACAGCTGAAATGATTCTGGGTATATTCTGTGTCAGAGGTGACTGTGTGTGTGTTGGCCCTGGCCTCCCTCCAGCCTGGAACGGTGGGCAACACCCTCCTGCTGACCCGGCTGGAAAAAGACAATCCCCCAGTCACTGTGCAGATCCCAACTGCCCAGAACAAGGTACGTTTCCTGGGCCAGGGAGCAAAGTTGGGTTGGGGTAGGCTTCTGGTCAGACTGCTCACATTCTGTGGCTGGGGGATAGAGAGATGGTGATCACGTGGACAAGCAGAAATCTCACAACCCCATCTCCCAAAGCTTCCTCTGAGCTCGGCCCTGAAAGAATTTGATGCCATCCAGAAGGAACAGAAAGAGAACAGCAGCTGTACTGACAAGCGAGAATGGTGGACAGGGCGGCTAGAGCTGGACCATAGGATGGAGGTGTGTGTCCCCAAGGTGGGGTGGGGCCAGGCCTGTCCTACGAATGACCTGGGGGTGCCAATGTCTTCTTTCTCAGGGGTGCCCTGTCAGTGCTAAGGTACCTCGAATCCTTTCTGGAATTGTAGGCCTAAATAAAAAATTATGTTACGTGGGAAGGACTTTAAACAAGAGCCCCAAACCTGAGGGGTTATGGCAATGGAGCACTTAAAGGTATACACACACAGGAAAAAGGACTGATGCCCACCCGTCTATAGTGATATGTAACAGATTCTTACTTATACTCCCCAGAGTCTCACCAAGTGAAAAACGTTTCTAGTTTCTTGCCTTTTCATTGGCAGATATGTAAGACAAATACACACATTGGAAAGCCCACTTCCTCATCTCCAGAATGTCGGTGCCTGTGGGGAAAGAAACTTTGCTTCATCTCTGACTGAAGGTCCTGTTCTTCCGCACTCAGGCTCTCATCACTTCCCTAGAAAAGGATGTGCTGGGCTGCTGGAGGGGGCTGCTGCTGCCACTGAGTGAGGACCCGGGCCCCGCCCAGGAGGCCTCCCGCCTACTGGAGTTACTGCAGGAATGTGGCTGGAAATATCCTGATCCCACTCTGCTGAAAGTGAGTTGAGAAATCAGTGAAGGGAAAGAAGCTAGATTTAATTCCTTCCCACCTGCCACTGTAAGTAGAAATGGAAGCTGTGGCACTCACTGACCACTCTTCCCCTACAGATCATGTTCAGTGGTGCCAATACCCTCACCCCTCAAGACATTCAGGCCCTGGCCTATGGGCTGTGCCCTGCCCAGCCAGAGCGAGCCCAAGAACTCCTGAGTGAGGCAATAGGACGTCTTCAGGGGCAGACAATACCAAGCAGTAGGCACCTTGTCTTAGTGCTGGACAAGGTAAGGAGCTAAGGGCCAGAGAGACAGTGCCTGGTGGGCAGTGGACACCAATTCACCCTCTTCTGACTCCTGCATATACCCGGCTAGGGACCGTAACCTCTGAGTGCTTTTTGCCCAGGACCTGCAGAAGCTGCCATGGGAGAGCATGCCCAGCCTCCGGGCACTGCCTGTCACGCGGCTGCCCTCCTTCCGTTTCCTACTCAGCTACGCCATCATCAAAGAGGTAGGATTCGGGCAGTGCAGACTGGGGCTGATTGGTGGCTATTGGGAAGATAGGAGAGGGTCTTAGGAATGGATCAGTCATGGAATGGGGCTTGGAGTTTGTTGGAGCCAGACCAGGATCCTAATCACCAGTGTCTCCTCATCAGTCTGGGGCCTCGCCAGTGCTGAGCCAAGGGGTGGATCCTCGCAGTGCCTTCTACGTTCTGAACCCTCACAACAACCTGTCAAGCACAGAGGAGCAATTTCGAGCCAATTTTAGCAGGTCAGGAGGATAAGAGTAAGAAACGGAGTGGGGAGGGGTAGCAACAACGCATAGGGACAACATGTCCTTTTCTCAAGAATCAGATGTTGCAGTCCACTTTCTCATTAGTATCCCTCTGCCAATTTGCCACATGACTCTTATTCCTTTTATTTTTTTAAATATATTTTTACTGATTTCAGAGAGGAAGAGAGAGGTAGAGAGATAGAAACATCAATGATCAGAGAGAATCACTGATTGGCTGCCTCCTGCATGCCTCACACTGGGAATCGAGTCCGCAAGCCAACGCTCTATCCACTGAACCAGACAGGTTAGGGCATGACCCTTGTTCTTACTCCTACCTTTTCCCTGCAGTGAATCTGGCTGGAAAGGAGTGGTTGGGGAGGTGCCGAGCCCGTTACAGGTGCAAGAGGCCCTGATGGAGCGTGACTTATATATGTGAGTGCTTAGGGTGGGGAGGTGGGGAAGCAGTTGCAGAGAGGGTATTGCTTTGGTTTGCTTTGGGGTTTTAAAGCCCCTGGTTGGCTCAGGGCACCTCTGGAGACATAGCAGAGGCCTAGTATAGCGACGTCAAACTCATCTCACCTTCTGCTTTAGCTATGCTGGCCACGGGGCTGGTGCCCGCTTCCTGGATGGGCAGGCTGTCCTGAGGCTGAACTGTCGGGCAGTGGCACTGCTATTTGGCTGCAGCAGTGCAGCCCTGGCTGTGCATGGAAACCTGGAGGGGGCTGGCATCGTGCTCAAGTATATCATGGCTGGCTGGTGAGTCTTTAGGGGCAAAGCCCATCCTAGGTCCCCACCCCAGGTTTTTTCCTAGGTCTGAAGTTTAAATCCTTCCTCCTTTGTGCCCCTCCTTCCTCCCATCCTAGTTCCAAGGGACTTCCTCATTAGCTCAATCTTCTCTACTCACCCACCACCACTATTAATTGTATTTTCCTGTGTGTTCTGTTTTAGAGTCCTTTGTTTTTCTTTTTTTTCCAGTCCCCTGTTTCTGGGTAACCTCTGGGATGTGACTGACCGTGACATTGACCGCTATACGGAGGCGCTGCTGCAGGGCTGGCTTGGAGGAGGCCCAGGAGCCCCTCTTCTCTACTATGTCAACCAGGCCCGCCAGGCTCCCCGACTCAAGTATCTTATTGGGGCTGCACCTGTAGCCTATGGCCTGCCTGTCTCCCTGCAGTGACCCCTTGGAGCGGTCCTATCACTTATGGAAGCCATGTGACTGTTCTACCTCCCATACTTAGATTTAACCCTCAGGGTAAATATTTTTAAGTGATTTCCCCAATATTTTATATGAAACATTTCCTTTAACTTAACCTTAATATAATAAAGATTTATGGCTTAAACCCAGTTTTGTGTAGTTCATTTGAAAACATTTGAGGACAAGACTATTGCCCCCTCCCACTATGTGGTACTATAAATAGAGCAGCTTGCAGGAGTGCATCTGAGAGCATTGGGAAGAAAGGCAAAACCATAGGACAAAACGGGGCCTGGCTTGGCCTCAGCAGAAAAAGCTAAAAGAGAGGGGCATCAAGGTGCCCTAAGTGGGGACAGAGTTGTTAAGGGTAGAGATGGACCCACTGAGAATCTTGACCAGACACCACCATCACATCTGTCCTGTTTTTGCCGTGAGGTATCCTGGGAGTGACACCAGCTTTAATGCCTCACTTCCCCTGCCCCCTCCTCAGTAAAGGTTAAAGGCTGATATTTTCTCCCCACATAGAGCTGTTACACTTGTCAGTGTACTTTGGTAGCAGGTTCTGTAGGGTTCTGCTGCTTATATATAGTTTTCTCTCCCCAATTAGATTGCTAATTTCCTCAGAAACACAAATCTTACACGTTCATGTATCCCTCACATCTAACACATGGTATAACTTATATATTGATTAATAAACTTATGCCGGCCCGGCCAGTGTAGCTCAGTGGTTGAGCACCAACCTGTGAGCGAGGAGGTCACAGTTATGTTGGATTTCCAGTCAGGGCACATGCCCAGGTTGTGGGCTCTTTCCCATAGGGGTTGTGCAGGAGAGATTGATGATTTCTCTCATCATTGATGTTTCTGTCTCTCCCTCTCCCTTTCTGAAATAAAAAAATATATATTAAAATAATAAACAAACGTGTGCTGTGCTTGGTTGACAACGTGCGGCTCTTATTCCTGAACTGTTCTCTCTACCACCAGACTCTTCTGCTTAATTTTTCCAAAGCACCACTTTCCTGATGCTATTCCGCTCCCCCACCCCCACCCCCCCCCCACCCCCCGCAGCCACCCCGCCCCCAACTTCTCAGGCTTCCTGGCTAATCGGTCACTAGGTCTATACCACACACGTGGAGTCGCATACATTGCTTTGTAATGTTATAGCTATGGCCTCACTATTTTAAAGATTTTTAAGCTCCTGGAAGCAGCAGTTGTGTCCGCTACAACTTTACTACGCTAGACGTGGTATATTTTATGAAAGGCACGCGCCGCTGCCTTTACTAGGAGGCGTGACTCAGTGGCGCCCCTCCCCAGGCGGAGGACCATAGAGATGTCCGGGGCAGCGAGGCCTCCTGGCAGCCATAGAGATGCGCAGAGGACGGCTAGAGCGTCGCTCGGGAAGCCGCTCTCAGCTTTTCAGCCCTAGTCCTCCTTCCCAACATGGCGCAGTCGGTGAACATCACCGAGCTGAATCTCCCGCAGCTGGAAATGCTCAAGAACCAGCTGGACCAGGTGGGGACGGGCCCCAGAGACACCCCTTCCCGCCTCATACCCCTCCTGCCCACGCGAACGCCCTCGCCCCCTCCCCACTCCCCCCGTTTGGGAGGCTTCCCTTCCCCTGCGAAACCCTCGCCCCGTCTCGGGCGGTGCTCCTCTCCCTCCAGCCCCACTGACTCTCTTTCTTGCGCTCTGTAGGAAGTGGAGTTCTTGTCCACGTCCATTGCCCAGCTCAAGGTGGTGCAGACCAAGTACGTGGAAGCCAAGGACTGTCTGAACGTGCTGAACAAGAGCAATGAGGGTATGGGGTGAGCGCGCGGAGGCCGCAGGGGGATGTGGTGCGCGGCTTCTGGTCCCGCCTCCTAAACCAGACTTTCTTACCGGAGACGAGAGAACGATCCGTTACTTACTCTGTACCTCTCGTGAGCCGTTTGCATGTTGCCCACCTAGAATTGAAATGGACAGGACGGTGCTCCTGTGGCCCCGTTGCCGTTCTTCTCATGCTCTCTGCGCTGGGCCCTTTAACGTCTTAACGTTGGAGCTGACAACGTTCCCCAGATGTTTGTCTTAATTGCTTTCACAGGGAAAGAATTACTTGTCCCACTGACGAGTTCTGTATCCTTTCCAGAGGAACCATCCAGCTCTCCTCTTCTCTCCTGTGCCCCTCCCCCTCCAAAAAGGGTGGGGGTAGTTTTGATGACTCCAAAGGGCCCCATGATTCTGAGAGCTCTTACTAGACACACTGCCTAGCTCTCCTATCTGTATCCTGGGGCCAGCATCTAGCTATTGTCTTGTAAGCGCAGAAGAGTGTATGTACTTGAGGTGTGACTGTTTCCCTCTTTTTGTTTGAAGATATCTAATATAAAGATAAAACGTGGTTTACACTTTTACTAATAACTTAGAACACATAAGCAATTGAAGAATAGGATATAGAAACAAGGGGGTTGACTCTGTTTATTAATTCTCAATTTCAGTTTAATTGCGGCTCTTATTCCTGAACTGTGGTTACTAGGAAACCTGGGTTGTGACTACCTGTTGAGTGTTTTACTTGAATGATCAAGTTATGACAACAGGACACCTGTAAACTGTAGTCTGAGAACTGACAGGCTGAGAGAGGAACACCGAATTAATAGTGTGCTAGGGATTACCTAAATAACGAACATTAAATCCATCAGGAGTTAGCTAGTTCGTGGTTGGGGTGTTGGTGAGGGGAAGCGGGGCTGGCTTCTCACTTTCACTTTCTTTTTTTTTTTTTTTATTATTAGTTAAGGTATTACAAATGTGTCCTCATCCCCCCCATTAACCCCCAACCTCCCCCCCACCTCACTTTCACTTTCTACAGCCCTAAGAACATGTTGTATCTAGTCTTTCTGGAGGGGCGAACTGCTTAAAGGGTGGGCGATGGCTTCAGGGCAAGAGGGTGTCTCAGTGTGTGTCTGTCATTTTCTCATAAGGGGCCAACTTCTCTGTCTCCACATGTGGAGGAGTGTACAGGTATAATTCTAAAGCCCCCAGATTATTCCTGCGCCTTGTAGCTTTTTGAAAAGAGGGTCTTCGGCTGACAAGGAATCATGGCTCATGCTGGGCTAGTTTTCCCTTAATTGTTGCTTCTCAGATGTATGTCCCTGGGAAGCTACATGATGTAGAACACGTGCTCATCGATGTGGGAACTGGCTACTATGTAGAGAAGGTGAGTGGAAGGAACCGTGTACATGCCCCTCTGAGCAAGGAAAGGAAATTTAGGGGAGGATTTAGAGACAGCATGGGGTGTCCTCTTTTTTTTTTTTTTTTTAGGGAGTAGGAGGGGGGAGTGAGAGAGAGGAGCATTGATGTGAGAGAGACACATCGATTGGGTACCTCCCCACACACCCCAACTGGGGCAGGGGATCAAACCTGCAACACAGGTACATGCCCTTGACCGGGAATTGAACCTGTGACCCTTCATTGTGCAGACCGATGCTCTAACCACTGAAACACTGGCCAATCCTCTTAGCCCCTCATTCACCTCTGACCTTTTAGACAGCTGAGGATGCCAAGGACTTCTTCAAGAGGAAAATAGACTTTCTCACCAAGCAAATGGAGAAAATCCAGCCAGCCCTTCAAGAGAAGCATGTCATGAAACAGGGTAAGCTTGGCCTGAGGCACCTCTTCATCCTTTGTACCGCCGTGATAAAGAACATGGATTGCAGTGTGAACCATGGGGATGTCCCCTTTGCTGGATTAAAACCATGTCTTTCTCTTTTGTGTCTTGTGTTATTCTCTAGATTTAGTATATTACATACCCACTATTTGTAGATTCCTGGGTTGGGTGTTTGAGAAATTTAGAGGAAAGAAATCATTTCTGTGTTCTTAATGGGGATTGAATGGGGGAAACGATACATGTAAATGAACACACAGGAAAGAAATAGCCCTAACTAAGTACTAGCCATTGCAGCCCTGGCTATACATTAGAACAGCCTTGGGCAAACTACGGCCCGCGGGCCGGATCCGGCCCGTTTGAAATGAATAAAACTATTGAAAAAAAAGACCGTACCCTTTTATGTAATGATGTTTACTTTGAATTTATATTAGTTCACACAAACACTCCATCCATGCTTTTGTTCCGGCCCGGTCCAGTTTAAGAACCCATTGTGGCCCTTGAGTCAAAAAGTTTGCCCACCCCTGCATTAGAATCACCAAGGGAGTTTGAAAAGAAAGCCTGGGTCAATGCTCAACCACTGAGCTACACCAGCCAGCTCAGTGATTAAGCATTGACCTATGAACCAGGAGGTCAGGGTTCAGTTGCCAGTCAGGGCATGTGCCCGGGTTGTGGACTTGAACCCCAGTGTGGGGCATGCAGGAGGCGGCCAATCAGTGATTCTCATTTACGTTTCTGTCTCTCTCTCCCTCTCCCTTCCTCTCTGAAATCAGTAAAAATGTTTAAAAAAAAAGAAAGAAAGAAAGCCTGGGGCCCGCTCCAAACAAACTACTAGTAAATCAAGCTGGGTAGTGGTGGGGGCTAGGGGTGGGCAAGGATTCCAGGGTTCGGTATTTTTTTTCAATGCCCCAGAGCCCAGGTGATGGTAGTCAAATGGTAAGGCATGGGTCTCGTAAAATGCCCCAGGTGATTATGTAACATAGTCAGGATTGAGAACCACTATTCTAAAGGTAAAAATAGCCCTGCCGCTGTAGCTCAGTGGTTGAGCACTGACCTATGAACCAGGAGGTCTCGATCCCTGGTAGGGGGTGTGCAGGAGGCAGCCAATGGGTCTCTCTCATCATGTATGTTTCTATCTCTCCTTCCCTCCCTCTGAAATCAATAAAAACATATATAAAAAATAAAACTACACATTAAAAAAATAATAAAGGCAAAAATATTTTCATGTTATAATTTTTGGTTATGTCTGACTCAATATTGTATGTTGTTCATTTTTATATCCCAGTGGTTGTCATATTTACTGATACATTGTAGATTCCAGATTTTGCGGTAGTGGATCACTGTGTTGTTTTATTAACTATAGTTGGTGTCCTCCGCTCCTTAAATTTCTGTCACTCTCTTAACTCTGGGTTCTTCCCTGCAGCTCCTGACCAGGGTCTGTTTTTCCCCCGCAGCTGTCATGGAGATGATGAGCCAGAAGATTCAGCAGCTCACAGCCCTGGGCGCAACCCAGCCTGCCAAGGCCTGAGATCCTGTTTCAGAAACCAGGCAGAGGGACCCTACTTCAAGGGCCTGGGACTGTGTGGTGGGGAGAGAAGGGTTTTGTGTTTAATGCCAATAAATGTTCCAGCTGGGCAGAACGTTGGTCTATTCTTGCATCAGTAAGGGACTGGTGAAGAGATGGGAGGGCAGGGGCGAGTGTGCCCCTCCCAGAGCCTGATGCAGGGTTTACCTTGGAGGCTCCGCTGACCCCCAGAGGAGCGGGAAGGCCTTGGGGGTGTAGCGGCCCCGCTGGGCGGGGCCTGGGGCCGTGGGAAAGGCTGACAGGCGGAAGTGGGGCTGCGCGGGCACTTCCTTTTCCGGCTCGGCGCTCCCGCCTTCGCACCGGAGAAGCTGTATGGGCCGCCGCTTCCTGCGGGGACTCCTGCCTTTGTTGTTGCCGCCGCCCCTCCGTGTCCGGCACCGCATGCACCGCCTGGAGAGCGTGCAGCCCTCCAAACGACCCCGCTGCAGCCTCATGGCGCCGCCCCGGATAGGAACGCACAACGGCACCTTCCACTGCGATGAAGCCCTGGCGTGCGCATTGCTGCGCCTCCTGCCGGAGTACCAGGTACGGTGCGCCCGGGGCCGCCCGCGTGCCTACCTGGGTCCCTGTGGTACCGGGGGCGGCCCGAGCCCCCCTCCTGCCCTTCCCGACCCCCCTAAAACCTAGCAGCAACCCCCTACCCGCGCGACTCCTGGCAGCTCCTCACCCCCGGCGCCCCCTATAGGATGCAGAGATTGTGCGGACCCGGGACCCCGAAAAACTGGCTTCTTGCGACGTCGTGGTAGATGTGGGTGGCGAGTACGACCCTCAGAGACACCGATATGACCATCATCAGAGGTGGGTTCGCAGATACCTTTCTTCACTTCAACTTGATTCAGTGCCCCAGTTCAGCCATCCGCTGCAGGGGCTGTGTGAGTCCCATGACACTGCGGCCTTCCATCCTTCTGGCTCTGCCCCTGCCTACCTGGCTGTGGCATCTAACCTGCCCAGGCCTCCCTTGGCTCCTAGTCAGTCCTCAGGCCCCTCCCAGCTCACCTCCTTCTCTGGCTGTCAGACTTTTTTCCCACCAGTACTGTTTTCTCCCCAGTTAATACCCCAGCTGGGACTAACCCAGGGGTGGGAAAACTTTTTGACTCGAGGGCCACAATGGGGTCTTAAACTGGACCGGAGGGCCGGAACAAAAGCATGGATGGAGTGTTTGTGTGAACTAATATAAATTCAAAGTAAACATCATTACATAAAAGGGTATGGTCTTTTTTTTCAATAGTTTTATTCATTTCAAACAGGCCAGATCCAGCCCGCGGGCCGTAGTTTGCCCACGGCTGGAACCCATTCATGTGCCCTTGCTGCCCCACTTCACACTGTTGGGCCCGGGCCCACCTGATTGTGGTGGTTGGTGACAGTTCACATATGTGTGGTCTTCTACTTCATTCCAATCCTTTCCCCTCTCCTCAAGCCCCTATCTCATCAAGCTCCTGTTTTCCACTCGTAAACATCCTCAGCTCCCTCCTTCCAGTGCAGCACTGTTCCCTTCTGTTTGTCCCCTTTCCAATCTATTACTTTCTCCTCTTGGACTTCCCACCAGTTTCTACTTTTTGCCAATAACTTACAACTCTATTTAGGCATCTCTCATCTTGAAAATAGAAATGCTAGTAGATACAAAATCCTCTCTCGTACACCACACTGTTTAAAGTGATTATGATTAAGAGTACATATTCATAAATGATGTTAGGAGGGAACCCTCCAGTACTTACAGCCTAAACTGTCATTCTCCAAAAGAAGAGCTGACCCTGGCTCCATATCCCTTCCAAATCATGTCATTCATTCAGCTGGTTCTCTCCCAGTCCCTCTCCACTGGAAATGCTCATGAAAAGGCCACCGGTGACTTCAACACCAGCTCAGGTTACTGGCTGAGAATCTCACCTTAACGCACCTCTTGGTGGGACTTGACATCATTGACTCTTACTTCCTTTTTTCTAATGATTTGACATACTTTCTTTAAAACATTCTGCAGGCCCTAGCTGGTTTAGCTCAGTGGATAGAGCGTCAGCCTGCGGACAGAAGGCCCCCGGTTCAGTTCTGGTCAAGGGCACAAACCTCGGTTGCAGGCTCCACCCCTGCCTGAGCCCTGGTCTGGGCTCCTGCAGGAGGCAGCCAATCAATGTGTTTCTCTCACATCGATATTTCTCTCTGTCTCTCCCTCTCTCTTCCACTCTCTCTAAAAATCAATGGAAAGCCCTAACCAGTTTGTCTCAGTGACTTGAGCGTTGGCCTGTGGACTGAAAGTGAAAGGTCCTCGGTTTGATTCCGGTCAAGGCGGGGTTGCGGGCTCAATCCCCAGTAGGGGCCCATGCAGGAAGCAGCCCATCAATGTCTCTCCCATAATTGATATTTCTCTCTCTCCATTCCTCTGAAATGAACAAAAATATTAAAAATAAATAAATAAAATAAAAATTAAAAATAGCCCAGTCAGCAGCATGGCTGAGTGGTTGAGTGTCGACCTATGAACCAGGAGGTCACAGTTGATTCCCAGTCAGGGCACATGCCCAGGTTGTGGGCTCGATCTCCAGTGGAGAGTGTACAGGAGGTGGCCAATCAGTGACTCTCTGTCATCATTGTTGTTTCTATCTCTCTCTCCTTCTCCCTGCCGCTCTGAAATCAATAAAAATACGTTTTAAAAATAAGTAAAAAGCAATGGGAAACTATCCTTGTGTGAGGATTTAAAAAAAAGATTTTTTTAATTATGCAGTATTTGACACAAAATAATGTATTTAACATTTCTGGCCCTAGTCAGTTTTGATCAGTGGATAGAGCAGCGGCCTGAGGACTGAAGGGTCCCAGGTTCAATTCCTGGCCAGGGCACATGCCCGGGTTATAGGCTGATCCCCATTAGAGGGCATGCAGAAGGCAACCAATCAATGATTCTCTCTCATCATTGATATTTCAATCCCTCTCCCTCTCCCTTCCTCTCTGAAATCAATAAAAAAAAAATTTTTGCCCTAGCCGGTTTGGCTCACTGGATAGAACATCGGCCTGGGGACTGAAGAGTCCCGGGTTTGATTCCAGTCAAGGGCATGTACCTTGGTTTCGGGCACATCCCCAGTAGGGGGTGTGCAGGAGGCAGCTGATCGATGTTTCTCTCTCATCGATGTTTCTAACTCTCTATCCCTCTCCCTTCCTCTCTGTAAAAAAATCAATAAAATATATTTTTTAAAAAAATTTTTTTTTAAACATTTCTGGAATATAAAACATAAAGTGAACACCCATGAACTAATCTCCCAACCCAAGAATTTGAACACTATCATTACCTTTGAATCTGTACCTGTGTGCTTCTTCCCTATCCCATCCCCTCACCTCCTTTAAAATAAACTATATCCTGAATTTTGTGTTCATCATACCCTTGTGTATAGTTTAGCACGTATGTCTGTTTCCATCATCAATTTATTTAGTTTTACTTATTTTGTTTTTGTTAATTGTCATCCGAGGACATTTTTTCCATTGATCTAGAAAGAGAGTGGAAGAGGGGAGGGGAGAGAGAGAGAAACATTGATTGGTTGCCTCGGGGCACAGGGATCGAACCTACAACCTAGGGATTTGCCTTTGACCCCCTCGACCAGGAATAGAACCTGTGACCCTTCAGTGCATAGGCCTACACTCAAACCACTTAACACACCAGCCAGGGCAGTTTTCCTTCTTTTTGAATTTCACCTGGGAGGGTTATTGTTAATTAGTCTTTCTTTATTTTTGTAATATGTGTGGGGTTTTTTAATTAATTTTTAAAGAGGAAGGAAGATGAATAGAAACATCGATGCCTGAAACATCGATTAGCTACTTTCTGCATGCCCTCTACTGGGTGGGGATTGAGCCCCCAACCTGAGCATGTGCCCTGACCAGGAATCTAACCAGAGACCTCTTGGGTCATGGGTTGATGCTCAACCACTGAGCACACTGGCTGAACTATTATTAGTCTTTAATATATATATATATTGTTAATTCTCACATGAGGATATTTTTCCCATTGCTTTTCAGAGAGGGTGAAAGGGAGGGAGAGAAAGAGAGAAACATTGATGTGAGATACACTGACTGGTTGCCTCCCACACATGTTCCAACCCAGGGCAGGGAGCAAACCCGCAACCCAGGTACGTGCCCTTGACTGGGAATCTAACCTGCAATCCTTCAGTGCATGGGCCAGGGCTCTAACCACTGAGAACACTGGCCATGGCTATACCTTATATGTATTTTATTAAAATGTTTTGTATTTTCTCAGTATTTAATAAAAATCATTAAAACAAAACAAAAAATGAGCTCCCTAGGTGATTCTAATTAGTATTTACAAATTATAGCTATGGTTTCTACTTCCCTAATAACTTTTCCCCATTCTCTGTTCCACTGCTACTCAAATTCCTGCTTTCCTCACTTACCTGGACCACTGCAGGTAATCTTGCATCTACTCTCCATGCTGGCTGGCACAATGCTCTTTCTAACATGCACTTGACTACTGAGAGTCTCTCAGTGGTTCCCATTACATACAAATAGAAGTCCAAACTCCAAAGAATGGCATGCAAGGCCTACCATGATCTGGCCCCTGCTTGCCCTTCCACCTGTTTATCATCACTCACCTCTCACACCCAAGCTCCTTCCTTGCAATTCCATGAAAAGACCTCTTAGCCATGTACGTGTTTCCTCACCCTTTATCTGGTGAACACCCCGTAAATTCATTGCTCAAGTATGACCTGAAAGCTCTCTCAACCCCCCCCCCCCCCCCCCCACCCACACACACACACACTTCCTTGCTTATAACATAGCTACAGCATTCGCTTGGTTGTTTGTGTGTCTGTCTGCGTTTAGCAGGTAAACTTGAAGACAGGGACATGGTCTATTTTTTTTATCCCCAATGTCTAAACACAAAGTCTGGCATGTTGTAAGCATTGAGTTTACCATTGTCGAATGCATGCACAGACTTTAAGCTGCGGTCTATGTGACCCCTAAGGAAAAGCCAAAGCCTCTCCAGCTGGGCTCTCCCTTTCCAGCTCCTGCAGTATTCCCCAGCCCCCTACCCCACGTTGTGCCTCCACGTGCACATACACAGGGTTA